GGACACAAATTGGGTCTGGGGGTGCTGTGGATAGGGAAAGGGGGCTCCAATCCATGGCTGCCGTGGTCTTGGACTGGGATTGAGGGGTCTGAACAGGGCTGGGGGGCTCCAAATGGAGCTTGGGGTTCGGAAATGGGGCTGGGGGGACACAGAATTGGGTTGGAGGGTCAGAAATTTGGGCTGGAGGGACACAAATTGATGTCAGGGGTGCTGTGGATAGGGAATGGGGGTCTCCAGTCCATGGCCACGGTGGTCTTGAACTGGGACCAGGTGGTCCGAACGGGGCTGGGGGGCTCCAAATGGAGCTTGGGGGTCAGAAATGGGGCTGGGGGGTCAAAAATTTTGGGCTGGGGGGACACAAATTGAGGTCAGGGGTGCTGTGGATAGGGAAAGGGGTCTCCAATCCATGGCTGCCGTGGTCTTGGGCTGGGACCGGGGGATCCGAACGGGGCTGGGGGGCTCCAAATGGAGCTTGGGGGTTGGAAATGGGGCTGGGGGGACACAAATTGGGACTGGGGGGTTGGCAATGGGGCTGAGGGGTCCCGAATTGGGTTTTGGGGACTCCTGTCCTGGTCTGGGACTGGGCCCGGGGAGACTGGAAAGGCGGCGAGGGGAGCTGGAGGTGGAGAGGGGCTGGAAATGGGGAGGCAGAATTTGGGATTTGGGGCTCAGATCCATGGGATTGACACAGGATTGGGACAGGAGGTTGGAATTGGGGCTGGGGGAGGCAGAATTTGGGGTTTGGGACTCAGATCCATGGGATCTAACTGGGATTGGGACAGGGGGTTGGAATTGGGGCTGGGGGAGGCAGAATTTGGGGTTTGGGACTCAGATCCATGGGATCTGACTGGGATTGGGACAGGAGGTTGGAATTGGGGCTGGGGAGGCACAGTTTGGGGTTTGGGGCTCAGATCCATGGGATCTGACTGGGATTGGGACAGGAGGTTGGAATTGGGGCTGGGGAGGCACAGTTTGGGGTTTGGGGCTCAGATCCATGGGATTGACACAGGATTGGGACAGGGGGTTGGAATTGGGGCTGGGGAGGCAGAATTTGGGGTTTGGGGCTCAGATCCATGGGATCTAACTGGGATTGGGACAGGGGGTTGGAATTGGGGCTGGGGGAGGCACAATTTGGGGTTTGGGGCTCAGATCCATGGGATTGACACGGGATTGGGACAAGGGGGTTGGAATTGGGGCTGGGGGAGGCAGAATTTGGGGTTTGGGGGACTCGGATCCATGGGATTGATACGGGATTGGGACAGGGGGGTTGGAATTGGGGCTGGGGGAGGCAGAATTTGGGGTTTGGGGGACTCGGATCCATGGGATTGACACGGGATTGGGACAAGGGGTTGGAATTGGGGCTGGGGAGGCACAGTTTGGGATTTGGGGCTCAGATCCATGGGATTGACACAGGATTGGGACAGGGGGGTTGGAATTGGGGCTGGGGCAGGGTTGGTGCTGGGAATTGGGGAGGGGGCCGGGAATGGAGGGGCTGGGATTGGGAATTCTCTTGGATCCTGGGCTGAGCTGGCTCCGGAGCGGGGCTGGGATGGGATTTGGAGAGGGAATTCCTCCCTCAGAGATCCCATCAGAGATGGATGGGGGAAGGGGAGTGGGAAAATCCCTTAAATTCCTGGGTGACAGTGAGTTGTGTGGGAATCTGGGCATGGAGGGGCTGGGGGATCCTGAGGGAGCTGGGAATGTTCAGTCAGGAGAAAAGGAGGCTCCAGGGGAGCTGCTGGGGTCTGGCTCTGCTCCCGGGGAACAGGGACAGGAGGAGAGGGAGATTTTGGTTGGAAATTGGGGAAATTCCTTCGTGGAAGTGTCCAAGGACAGATTGGATCCACTTGGGATAGTGGAAGGTGTCCATGCCCTTGGAATGGGATCATCCTCAGGGTCCCTCCCAACCCAAACTGTTGGAATTCTCTGGAATTCTCTGTTCCATTGGGCTGAGGAGGAGGAAGACTCCTGGGAAAAAGGAAGAGGAAGGGATGGAGATCCTTGGAAGAAGGGAGGAATTCCAGCTTGGGGTGAGGAAACAGAAGTGAGGAATGAAGGAATGAGGTCAGGCCTGGATACTGCACAGCTTGGAGGATCCTAAATTTGAAATTTGTGGATTTATTAATCCTGGAATCGAGTCTTAATTAAAAAAAGAGGCAGAGTGACTGGATAGGATTTATAAACTCATTTATTGAGTGTGGCTCCCAGG